GAGAGAGAGAGAGAGAGAGAGAGAGAGTCTATAACAAGAAACGGAAAGACCTACGTAAAGAAGGAATAAAGATAGACAGAAATTTAAAAAAAGGAATTTAAGAAGGAGATGGAGCACACTCGGAAGTCTGGAGATCGTCGCTGTCTAGAACTTCCCCAAAGACCAGTCTGCACTTAAAAGCAACCGTTAAGTTTATTTTCACACCCTGCGCGAACGCCAGACCGTTCAAGCGTAGCTAAGGAAAAGATGAATTAAAACATAAATAGGTTGAAACACAGGTACAATGTCTCATATTCGCCCGAAAAATATCCTGCCAGGGCCGTGCTGTTCTCCTGACCGAAACGCCCACAAAAAATGTGAGTAAACTTTGTTTACTATCTCAACGCCCCCGCCCCCCTTTTTCTCCTTCCTTCGACAACCGGCCTTTGACTTTTATCCCAGTGCCTTAGAACAATCTCTGACCGCATTTAAACCTGGTCTAAAAACACATTTATTAAAATCCCATTTTACAAAATAGTTTGAATTTTCTGTCAATAGCGTTCTTTTTCGTTTTTTTCCCCTCACCGGAACTTTCCCAAAGGGGAGATAATAACATCTTCTTAATCACAGTAGAATTGTAAATGGGCTGATTTATCAATGTCATGCTCATAATGAGCCGGAACAACATAGGAGGAACCGCTGCTTTTCCTTTCCTCATCCTTACTATCGTCATTTTTCCTCTACTTCTTCTGTATGCTTGTTACTCTCGTGTGAACTGCTATTTCCGGGGTGCCTTGATAGTCGAAACAGACTTTGTGCTGTTAAGGCTAGAGAGGTGAGCAGAGTAAGCCTGATTCCGCGTTTGGATCTCTCTGTTGAGACCCACCCCTTGGTGCTCATAGTCATATGACTTTATGTAGTTGTGGGCGCCATAAAACCCTATTAAAACCTGTTTTAAAAAAAAATCACCTGAACTTTGTACACGTTCGAGTAGCGGACACTCAGCACCTTCAGCTTATTGAGGCGCCTGAAAGTTCCACTGTCCAGAAAGTGCAGATCGTTGTGGTCAAGGTTCAGAGTAGTCGCCGTGTCCGGGAACCAGCTAGGTTGGAGCGAGGTCAGGCCCTTGGAGGAACAGTTGACGTATTCGCCACCTCGCTCCGTGTCGCCAGTGACGACACACGGGGATTCGTCAGTTCTCGCAGTGGCGGACACCGAGATTTTTAGCCAGCAAGGGAAGGAACTCGCCATGAGAAACAGAAGAATCACAGTGGGCGTGGGAGACATTTTTAGGAGGTTTGGAGGGGGTCGGAACGGGAAGAGAGAGGGGGGCGGAGGTGAGGCAGGAAAGGGATGAAG